GTACTGATCCTCAAACATGCCAGTCACACTTCTTCCTGGGGCTGTTGAACTTACTTTTCTCTCTTCCTAGAACATTTTTACCCCAGGCCTCCACAGAGCTTGTCCTCTATTTCACTGTCATCTTCTGGGTGAGGCCGGTTCCCACCTTTGTTCTGTATTCCTTAGGCCCCTTACTCTGCTTCATTTCACTGCCCAGGACTTGCAGCATCTGACACACTGTACCTTTACCTGTTTATTTGTTTATAATCTGTCTGTCTCCAGTGCAGTATAAATTTCATAACAGCGAGGACTTGACCTGTCTTGTTCACACTGTGTCTTTGGCACATAGAACAGTACTTGGTGAATCGTAGGTGCTCATTAATTAAGTACTTGTTTTTTCTGAATGAAGCTGTAAGAAAATGAATGAATGGATGACTAAGACGAATGGCCTTTTCCATTACCTCTCACTTTGTATTCATTTGGTGTTAGGTAAGTGGAGTTACTTGGTGTCAGTGGATTTTGTTTGGATGCCAGGGTGCTTGTACACTTAGGATAACTGAGGTGAACAGTTAACAGTTTGCCTCTGTTGCTGGGTAACACATGTCCTGGTGGCAAGCTGTTACCTAGTGGATGCTTTTAGTTGATTTGTAGCATTAATATACAGACTTCTCTTAAGCTTAGTGGTCTCCCAGAGATAATGGAACAATCATGAAAGTAATTGTTCATTTTTAGCATTCATTCTCTTGTAATATTTAACTACATTTGAGTTTTACTGTGTAATAGAACCAAATCCTACTATTCTTGTTCTTTGTAGAGAAAAAAAATGTGTGAATATATTTTTTAACTTTTTCATCCTTTGTTTTATTTCAGGAAGTCTAGAGTTTTCACCTCAGCTGAATTTTTTAATATTAGCTGAAACTGTTACATCAGTTGAAGTATTACTATGAACAGTTACATTTCATATTTTCCCACATTCTTAGCAGAGGATCATTGGAAGGAAATTTCAGTAATGCCACTTAAATATACTGATGTTGTCCTATAGAAGGAAAGGGAAGCTCCATCCTGAGGCCCTGACCTCACTCTGGAAGTTCCAAAGCCTTCTGCTTCCCCTACCTTCTCCAGGTTCCAGTTTCCATACTAGGGAAACAGGAGGTTCTTTCCAATTCATGTCGGGGTATCCCAGACTTTCCTAGGGCCCAGGAAGTGGTTAGATACTGAGGCTCCATTAATACAAAGTCAACAGATATTTAATAGCTAAAGTGTCAGTAAAGATGTAAGTGAAATAGTTGTGTGAATCACCCTAATTGTCCTGAAACAGATATTGATGAACAAAATATGCTGTTAAGAAAGCCCACTGCGGTTACGCCCTGTGCACCATTGCACTGTTTTCATTTGTAAATGCTTCCTGCACAGTCGTTCCTGCTGCGGAAGGGTGAGGTGTGCCCTTTCCCATCAGTCTTTCTTGTCTCCCAGCCGTGTACCTGCTGCATTGGACTCATCTGTTTTGGCCTCCAGTTTGCATTTCTGAGCTCTCTTTAATCTGCTCATCCCTTACTGAACTTTTCCTATAATCCTTTCTTATTTTCATCCACAACATACTCCTGCATAGTTCCCTATGATAATTTTGTCTTCTGTCTTTCTGTTTCTCCATGTGCTACACCCCGGCTGACGGGTTGGACCAGAGGCATTGGGACTGCCATCCTCTTAAAACAAAGGGAATGTATGGAGCTAATGACCATCAGGAAATGAAACCAAAACTTGATGAGGCATTTCTATAAACCCGTCAGCACAGTGACAGTGTATTAGGTGCCAGGTACTGAAGGCACAGAAATAATTAAAGCAGTGTACCTGTTAAGTAGCTCATGGGTGTTTTGTAGTAATAGGAAAATAAACGAATCATTACAATATATAATAAATGCTTTCAAGCACAGATAAGAAAGAACAAATGGGAGAGAGTATAATTAACCTACAGAAGGAGTAATAGATCTTGACTGGACACTTAGATTCAGTTTATTTTATATTTTAAATATATTTATTGGCCAGGCATGGTGGCTCACACCTGTAATTTCAGTACTTTGAGAGGCTGAGACAGGTGGATTGCTTGAGCCCAGGAGTTTGAGACCAGCCTGGGAAACATGGCAAAACCCCATGTCTACAAAAAATTAAAAAATTACCCATGTGTGGTGGCACGTGCCTGTAGTGTCAGCTGCTTGGGAGGCTGAGGTAGGAGGATCGCTTGAGCCCAGAAGATCGAGGCTTCAGTCAGCCGAGATTGCACCTCTGCACTCCAGCCTGGGTGACAGAGGAAGACCTTGAAGAAATTTTTTAAAAAATTTATTTAGCACATATTTTGTGCCAGACACTGTGCTACATGCTGGAGATTCAGTGGCGAACAGGACTGTTAGGTTCCTTGCCTCATGGACTTTCTAAACAAGGGAGAGATTTTAAAACAACCACTGAGATTTAATAAAGAAAACCACTATGAATGTTAAAACACCTTGAAGGAAACAACCAAGGACTAAGATGAAATGAAGGGTATTTGCGTGCATGTGTGTGTGTTTTTGTGGGCAGAGGGAAGCTGCTTGAGGTCGAGTTGTCCGGTGGGCTTCGTGTGCGAAGTGATTCTTCAGCTGATTCGTGAAGAGGGAGGAATAACTTATCCTTGTGAAACGGTTCCAGGAAGAGTAGTCTGGGTGGAGGGAGTAGCATTTGGAGAGAGGCTGGAGTATTCAGGTCTGTTTCCTGCCTTCCTTCCCGCTGTGTTAGGGCATGATTCTTGGAATCAGCAGTACAGCTACACGTCACCTGTCCTCCCAGCCACACGTCACCCATCCTCTCAGGTACACGTCACCCATCCTCCCAGCCACACCTTATCTGTCCTCCCAGCCATACGTCACCTGTCCAACAGTAAAAGTTGCATGTGGGTTCAGGGGCCCAAGTGGGCACAAGAAGGACACTCAGAGCACTTATTTACATTTTTTTAACATCTTGTCTGTATATACCTGACAGCTTACTGTGTCACTGAATTGACAAAATAAATGTAATAGTTGTTTTATCAGTTGTTACTATGTTTTAAGGTGACATGGAAATTAGAATTTAGAACTGAAGAGAATGTTGTAACTCACCAGTGAGCTAAACTATGAAAAGAATTAGGCAGAATGAGAAAAATGATTCTCTCCCCCAGGGAAATGGAAATTATAGGGCATTTTAATCATTTTCAAGGACTTGAAAAGATAAAGCCCTTGTGAGGACGTCTGTGAGGACGGACATGAAGTGGAGACGGAGGCGCCTGCGTTCATTGTCCCTCCTGACAGCAAACCCAAGGTCTCCCACATGCCCGGCCACCCAAGCCACTCGGGGCAGCCCCCCTTCTCTTTCAGGCTGCTCTCTGCTCACCACTTGGTTTGCACGAGTGCCTGGTGCATCCCAGGACATCTCTCCCCCGGCTCCACTTCTGTCTGTGGTGCCCACGTGACCTCCCGGGCACACACTGCTTCTCATCCTTGCGGCCTCCAGGCTGGGCAAGGCCCCCTCCTGGGTATCTTGCAAAGCAGAAATAGCAATCGGGTGTTCCAAGCCACCTGGGGGATTTAGGTTGGTTGAAGCATGATTCCCTGAGAAGTGAGTATGTAAATGTAAGAACTGACTTTTAAGGGAACCTGAGAGAAATCTCCTCCCTTAAGTACTTCCAGTTTAAGAACATTTGTCATTGATAAGACCTTCCTGTTAGTTGAGGAGAATGAGCTGTAGTTTCTCAAGGGCCCAGGTCTGTGAATCAAAGTTCCAGTGGTGAATGTTTAAAGCAAACCCTTGCTGCCGTTTGCTGATGTTGTGAGAAAGACACCTCTGTTTGCCAGAGGCAGCAGTTTGAGTTTCTGCACTGAGCGGTGTGGGCTGCTGGAAGAGAGCAGGTCAGAACTAGAACCCCAGGGGTCTAAGCCTGGAGCCTGGAGCCCCCTCCCCTCCTGGCCCCTTTCGTTGGCGGAGGCATGGGGTGATGCTGTGTGCGCCACAGTGTCCTCAGGTTCTGTGAAACATGTTCTCCTCTGCATGTATAGAGCACAGTCTACCTTGGGTCAAAACACAATTTCCTGGTTTTATTATATTATTGTTTCAAAAAGTTAAATAACTTCTTGTCAATTGTTCTTCAATACAGTCTGTAAGCTAATGTAATAGTTAAAGGATAAAAGCCTTCCTGGTGGTTTTATTTTTTTATTTATTTATTTTTATAGAGATGGGGTCTTGCTCTGTTGACCAGGGTGGTCTCAGACTGCTGGGTTCAAGCAATTCTCCCACCTCAGCCTCCCAAAGTGCTGGGATTATAGGCATGAGCCACCACGCCCAGCCTTAACTGTTTTTTAACACTGTCTGTAAGCTAATGTAATCCTTAAAGGATAAGACGCATCCTAGTGGTTTTCTTATGTGGATATATTTTTTTCCTTTCCAAGTTACTCATTCAATTATAATGACTATAAAGTATGGGAGAATAATGCCATTTTTAAAATGATTTTAAAGTCATTTTTCCTTTCAAATACATCATGATTTTGGTTCCTTAGATGGCTGTGTGTAGAGTCCGTAAGCCCTGGGTGCCTAGTTTTTAGAATAGGGAGTTGAGAGTCTGTCCATGATTTGTTGAAGAAAGTACTGAGCTGAAAGCAGGAGACTGGGGCCACATCTCATGCCTGCGTACTTCTCAAAATCTCCGGGCCTTGTTTTCTAATGTGTGAGATGAGGAGGCCAGGTTAGATCACTGGGTCACCAGAGATTTCTTTTAGGGGTGGAGCCTTTTTCTTTTCTTTTTTGTTTTTTGAAGCCTTGGAGAAAGCCCAGATCCCCATCTCCTATGCTGTCTTCAAATATATAACTCCTGAGTTATTGCTGAAATCCCTTGGAGGTCTTTTTTATGTTAAAAATTTCAGGCTTTGTAGTGATAAAAGCAGAACAAACTCTTAACTCATATGTCATAAGTATTGTTTTAACTTTCTTCTTTTAAAACACTAATTTTTTTTATCTTGTCACAGCCCAATGATGATCATTACTCAGAAGATCACTAGTTTGGCTTGCGAAATTCATGATGGTAAGAATTCTGAAATTAATTTTTATCGCTGAAAAAATTTAATTCCAATAATATTTTGCTTGAGATATTACCATAACTTTCTGCTATTAGAGTAAGGAAATGGAGGGAGGTAAGATAGGGAAATATACTTAACTGTGCTTAGGGTTATGAAAAATGCTTACTTTCCTTCAGTGTTTTATCTTCATTTTTAATTCGGTGCAGTGACAGAAAGTAGAATAGTGTGATTTAGTCATGGGGCCCACAGTAGTGATAATTTGACATATAAAGGAAAGAGACATTTGGTCTAGATCAAGTTTTATTATTTCCTGCTTCAGCTCTTCGTTAAATTTTTATTATAATTTATGTGTTTTCCCCACCTCTTCTCCTTTATATACACACATTCATAATTACATGTTTCCATGTATTTTTATTATGAATAATTTCTGTCTTCAGTGAGTGGACATCTAGTCCTGGCCTAACAGGACTCCGAGTCATGAGATTTGGGTTCTGATTCCTTCAAAGACTGAAAAAGCCAAGCATCCCTGTTAGAACGGTCATTTGTATGTAGCCTGGGGAGCTTTGGAGATGAGTTTGAGCCCCACTGTGTCTCCACCCATCCTGCGCCCACTCCCCGCGCAGGTTTTCCCTCTTATTGTCAGAGGACCAGCCTTGACAGTACTGTGAAGAGCGAGCGAGAGAGAGAGAGAGAGAGAATTTTTCCTCTTCTTCCCTCTGGCTACTAACAAGAAAAATTAGCGCTTAGTTTTTTTGGGGGGGTGGTGGAGGGAAGGAGGTAGATTAAAAAATCTCTGCTACTTGTTTAATCAAGTCTGCAGGTTAAACAGCAACTCTCTTTCTGCCCTTCAGAGAAAGAAACACCACTGAGGGAAAATTCTGCATACAGGAGGGAACATGAGGATGTGGCTAGAGTGTGGGTTTTGATGGATAGGCAAACATACGCTCAGATTCCAGTTCAGCTTCTTACTGCTTCAGTTTTCTCCTTTGTCAATTAACAGTATGATTCAGCTTGGAGGGTTTTTTTGTGGATTATAATTTATGCACAGTGTCTTGTAGTTCTTGCATCCTGATCAATGAAGTGGGTGAAACTCACCAGACTCTGATACTAGACTGTAGTTATAAAACTTATACTAGGAAACACTATAGGTAAAAGCCTACAGTTACCTTCAGGTGCTGAAACTTCTGTAGTATGCTAGTAACAGATTACTCCTGTGACACTGGAAAGAGAATATAGGGAAGTTGTGGATCAGAGATATAATTTTGTCTATAGGTCTGGAAGTATCTGATGACAATATATATTCAACTCAGAAGAACAACAAACCTCATTTTGTGACCTGTTCTTTTAAATGGGTTTAATGGTAATTATCTCTTTAGAACAGTTTAGATTTTGATTAGTCTTAGCAGTGTTAGAGGAGTTCATACACTTTAACTTTTCAAACTGGGTTCCTCTTCCAGTTTGCTTCAGACATCCTCCGAGACAGTCTGCTGCAGGTCTTCCACACCCCATACCATCCACCCCTTTATTCCCAGGGGATAGATTGAACCCTGTCTAACCCATATTTTATCAGCTAGTCTTTCAGAGAAGGGCCTTATTATCTGTGTATCGGGGGACCCCAAGACCACTCCCAGTTTGGTAATTCACAGGACTTAGCATGTGGTTGAATTCATGACTAACATTTATTACAGCGAAAAGATTCCAAGCAAAGTCAGTAAAGTACAAAGGTGCCTGTCATGAAGTCTGGAAGAAACCAGGCACAGGTTTCCAGAAGTCCTCTCCCAAGGAAGTCACAGAGAACGTACTTAATTCCCCCAGCAACAAATTGTGACAACACCTGTGAAGTGTCTATCAGGCAAGCTTTTTAGACTCTCAGCACCCAAAGCTTTTATTGGGGGCTGGTCACATAGGCCCCCTAGCAGACACCAAAATTCCAGGCTCCTAGAAGGAAAGCAGGTGTTCAGAATAAACCACATCTTTAGCACAAATAGGCTAGGCATAGGGGACATTTCCTATTGGTTTAGGGGACTGTGAACCAGCCAAGTTCTCGCACAGCAGCCATGGGCACACCTTATAAGCAGGCCTAAGGATAGCAGTCTCAGAACTGTGTTAATTTGTTTCTGCACAGCCTGGTTCTGGACCACTCCTAGATGAAACCAAATAAATTACCTACAACTGTGTCTGTTTCTCAACTATCAATCCACTGTCATCATTCATATTTGTATCTTCAGGAAGCAGGTGTTATTTTATCCTTGGGTATTTGTAGGCATGGTTTTTAAGACATTTCATCACCCTCATATAATAGAGCCTACTTACCCTTCTGGCTTTGAATTGTGTATATGAGATTGCTGAGGGCTGAGGATGAATGACTAAAATAACCTGCTGGCATGTTTGCTCATGAAGTCTGGCTTATATTGTGGCCTGTAGGGATAGTGTAGCTGGTTGTCTTGCTGGCGGCGTCATTGATGTCACCTCACGGTAGAAATACTTCAACCTAAAGGAATGCTTGTACAGGTTGAATATCTCTTATATGAAATGCTTGAGAACAGAAGTGTTTCTGATTTTGGATTTATTCAGATTTTGGAATATTTGCATACATATAATGAGATATCTTGGGACCCAAGTCTAAACACAATTAATTGATGTTTTATATATACCTTATACACATAGACTGAAGGTAATTTATACATTATTTTTAATAATTTTGTGCATAAAACAAAATGTGTGTACACTGAACCATCAGAAACCAAAGGTACCACTATCTCAGCCACCCATGTAGATAATCAGTAGTTGTTTGGCATCACCATGATTCCTGACTCTGAATATACATGAAAATGATAAGCAATCATTTTCTTATACCTATTCATACATAAGTACTAAACAGTGGAAGATATGCCATTCCATTAATTCAGTGAAAAAATGGTGTGTTCAGGGGAACTAAGCAGCACAGTAGAATCACTGGACCACCCGTGTCAGCTGTTAGACACAGCAGCAGTGGCAGGCTTTGCGTCTCCACCTGCAACGTGGTGTCACACCGGGGCTCAGACGTCTTCTCATACCCCATTGTTTGCTGGACCGCCTCACTTGTACTTGGTTAGACTTCTAGCTTTAAAAAATGGTATCTTGTCTTTAATTGGTTTTTGGTGATTCTTTTGGCAAGTTCCCAAGTTGTGAACTGAGAAGGGAGGCTGGACTTGTTGTGCATGTAGACTTTCGACACAAGTTTGTTCTATGAACTCTGTCCTTTAAGCTCTGCGTCCACTTTTCTTGGCTAGTTTACACTTCGAAAGCAGTAATTGCTTCTTTGAGTAACATGGCAGACTGAACTGGTGTAGAGGCCCACCCTATGCCAAACACTTGGACATGCTGACTAAACATAACAGCACAGTTTATGTATGGCAAAGCTTGAAATCACAAAGAAGGCTGTTAACATGTCACTTGCCTGATAAAAGCATGAGGGAAAAAGGATAAGAAGTTTTTAAAAATTGAATACTTATCCTCATTTCTAAAGAGGGCTTTTTTTTTTTTTTTAAGGACAGGGTGGACAGCATATATCTGATATGGGGGAAGAAAGTAGAATTGTCACAAGTGGGAATTATCCTTTTTGGGGGTTTAAATCCTGATAATGTTTTACCGTTTTCTCTTCTTCTATCATCTTTTTTTTAAGTGTTTTTTTTCCTCCTGCTTATAAAAAGTAGGTATGTGATCATTGAGGAAAATTTGAAAAATACAAATTGGAAATATGAAGAGAAATAATCTTCCATGTCCCTCCCCAGACATTTCTCAGAGCCAGACTTTTTTTTTTTCTTTCTTTCTTTTTTTTTTGAGGCAGAGTCTTAGCTCACTGAAACCTCCAGTTCCCAGATTCAAGTGATTCTCCTGCTTCAGCCTCCTGAGTAGTTGGGATTATAGGCGCCTGCTGCCACACCCAACTAATTTTTTTTTTTCTTTAGTAAAGACAAGGTTTTACCATGTTGGCCAGGCTGGTCTCAAACTCCTGACCTCAGGTGATCCACCCACCTTGGCCTCCCGAAGTACTGGTATTACAGGTATGAGCCACTCTGTGCCCGGCCCCTTCTTTTTTATTAATATTTCCTTTATCATCTTATGAGGTATAGTTTTCTTTTTACATAATTGTCAAAAGTGGAATATGTAATATATTCCCTTTCCCCAATTGTTGCATATATAGGCTGTTACTTTTTTTTCAACTATTATGTATAAAGTTGTGATGATCCTTGTCATAAATTTTGAATCGCACCTTCAGTTATTTCCTTAGGGCTAGAGTTTTAGGAATAAAGGGTAGAAAGATTTCTAAAATGTTTGCTATACTGGTTTACAGAAAGATGATGTGAGTTCCTCTTGGTACCTCATTTATTTGTTTATCTTCTGTCTCCGTACTAGAATATAAGTGCTGTAAAACCAGGGAGTTTGTTTTTCCTCTGCTCTTTCCTCAGTGCATAGAATAGTTCCTGAGGCATTTTAAGGCGGTAATTATTTTCTTCTCATCTTTGTTTTATATACATATAAAATACATAAAATGTGTGTTTTACATAATTTAGATTATATTATATGAGTAAGAGCCCTTTAAAATTTCTGCATACTTATAATAGGTGAAAATGGCATCTTGCTCTTTTAATGTACATTTAATGATTTATAATGATAACGTTCTTTATCGTGAAATTAACATTTCATATTAGTTGGCTACATGTATTTAATCTTCTACGATTTGTCTTTTCATGTTTTTAGGTTTGTCTATTTATTTCACTGTTTTTTAATTGCTTTAGCTTTGGTTCTTTGGGGGAATGTTACTACTTTACTTATATTAATTTATTAATATTAATGTTGCTATTTGCTTTTTAATTTCATTCCCCTTTGGTCTTTAGATTGGATTTGAGGTATATGTTTTTAAAGCATATGGATCTAGTAAGTTGATGTGTAATCTTAAATAATATATCCTCCTCTTTGAAGAGAAAGGTAAATAGATGAAAGAAGATGATGTACTTGAGTTTGGTTTTCATGTATTGGAGTCGTGGAGGAGTAAGGAAATTGCTCCTTGCTTTATGTTGAGCTTCTAGTTTATAGTACTCATGTGTAGTCATTTAAGTCATCCAATAATAGAAAAATTGTAATGCCCGTTTTTGAAAAGTCATAGCATTTAGAATTAAGGATAATAACATTATAATTTTAAAAGTGCCAGCATTTGGGAATTATTTAATTATAACTCCCCTTAGAGTGGAGTTAGATACCCAACCATGTGTTATTTTATAGAGACTTTTCACATGATCGAAGCTGTGTTGCCATGAGAAGGAAAAGAACAGTCATTATATCAAAATTGGGAATATAATAGCATGAATTTCAAATGAGGAAAGTAATGAAAGTGTGCATGAGCAAAAATGCCATTTTGGGGAGAAATCTTAATTGGTAAGAAGAGTACCTATTTTTGTTTCTCAGGGATGTTTCGGAAGGATGAAGAACTGACTTCCTCACAGAGGGATTTAGCTGTAAGGTACGTGCCTTTGCATCCTATTCTGCCATGCTTCCTGCACCCCTGCCTAGGACCCACGTTCCTTCTGTGACTGAGGCTGATTAGTTCTTCTAGAGGTACTTACTTCTGAAAATCAAGCCTCACTCCCTCCATGCACCTCCCTCCTGCCAAAGCCTGCTGGGCGGGGCTGGGCATCCCTTCTGGCTCCTGTAGCACCCTGCCTCTGTGATTGTACATGTGCGCCTCCTATGGGCCACAAGGTTAGCTGCTAAAGTTTTCGTTCCTGTGAGACTCTTGAGTTCCTTGAAGACAGGAGGATAGTATTGTCTTCATGTCTGCCATGTAGTAATTACCGGTAATAATAGCAGCTACCATCTACAGGCCAATAACTTGATGGCAGGTACTGGGCTAAGATACAATACATTAATATAGCATATCGATGCCGTATTTTGAAATCATAAAGAACTAGTCAGATAATTCTCATTATTATTTGAGGAGTTCATTCTGGGATAGGCTTCTACTTCATTTACTGAAGGCACTCTGATGACTAAGGAATGGCTTAATTTCACAGGGTCTATCTCAACTAATATAATTTGAGATGGAATACTCATTATACTTACAGAAAAGTTTCCCATGGATTACCTTGTTTCCAAAACTAGAACGAATAAGTGCATAGCTGCTAGAAGAATGAGATTGTTTGTGATATTATTTAGAACTAAACTAAGTATTCATCTTTCATCCCAGGTAGCATGTCTTGGGGGTCTTTTTGTATTTTCCCATCTTTAAAAATGTTGTATTCCGATAGCCCCTATAGTCAGTCTTTATGTATCAATAAATAGACACTTGAGTAGCTTTCCTGACGAGAGGTTAATTTGGTCTTGGTTCTTTGATCTTTAGGAGCCCTTGCGCCATCCCAGTAGCTACTCATTTACAGACACTCAGCTGCCATTTCCCCTATGCCTCTCACATCGAGAGCAAATCCCCAGACCTAGGTAACCGCACCTCTCACCTACCTGAACAGTGGAAGAAAGCTGAGTGGAAAAACACTGTCTTGCTCACTGGACTCATTTTAAATTTGTTACCCCAAATTTAAAATTAGGATCCTTAGTATTGCCAGTGGTTCTGCATTTCCTCAGTCCACTCACTTGCCCACACTCTTCTAAGATGATATATTCTCCTTCCTGCCAGACTGCTAACACGCCGTCCCCCATACTTGTGTTGGTAGCAAAATTTTATTTTTTGGAGAGAAAAAAAGCAATCCTACTTTGATTCTGCAACCACCAAATCTACCATGCTGCCTGAATCTATAACACAGTGCTCTACTTTCTTTCCTGGTGTCAGGTACTAGCTGTGCATACTCTAATCGAAGGCCAGCTTCTCACTGCTGCACAGAGTTCACTTCCTTCTCAAGGATTTTGCTGCATCAGTTACTCCTGCCTGTTCACTCACCGATTTCTCCCTCTCTGTTGGGCCATCCCCACACCTGAACAGAACAAGCTCATGACACCTCTCATTCCCTTCTGGCCATCACCCTGTTACTGCACACTCCTTTAGAGGAGCACTTCTTGAAGGCTTTGTGGACATTCAGTGTCTCCCCCCATTCTCTCCTTAGCCTCCTGCATTCAAATTTTTGTGCCCATTCTTGGTCTGAAATCGTTCTTTCAAGATTGCCCTTAATCTTGGCCGATTTCATTGTCAGCTTGTTTGCATGATGCTGAACCTCAGCAGCACTGGCCAGTTGGCCACTCTTCTGAAATACCTTCTTCACTTCCTTCCAGGACGTTCCCTTCTTTCAGTTTTTCTCGTCCTTCACTGGCTCTTTGTCTCTGTCTCTTCTGCTGAATCCTCTGCCCCTGCTTCTGCCTTACCACTAGCCTGGGCTCAGCCCTGGACTTCTCCGTTTTCTCCAGGTGGTCACATCCGTTGGCTTTAAAGGCCATCTTCATGTTTGAAGTCTCCTAAATTTATATTCCCGCCCAATCCACTCCCCTCAGCCCCAGCCTCATTTATCCAACTGCCATTTTAAGGTCTTCCATGGATAGTGACAGGCAGCTCAAACAGAACATGTTCAAAACAGAACTTCTGATTTGTCTCCCTCTTCCTTCCTCCTCCCACATCTGTTCCTCCACCATTATCACCCAGTTAGTTAATAGCAGTACCATTATCACTGGTGGCCTGGGGGGACTTCCATTTTCTTACAGCAAATCCACTTCACCAGCAAGTCAAGTTAGCCCTTCCTTTAAAATTAATCTCTAATCTGACTGATTTTCACCGCTTCCACTGGTCACATCCCAGTACAAACCCTCATTTTCTACTTGGTCTGCTGTGGTAGCTTTCCTTCCTGGCTTCCCTATTTTCTCTCATGCCCTGTGCAGCCTACTTTTCAGCTAGCAGCCAGAGAAGCTTTTAATGTGCATTGGATTATATTATTCCTGTCTCCTGATGAAAATCCTCCAGTGGCTTCCACTGTAATTTAGAATAGAATTACAAACCCCCGACCACAGCATATAAGGCCCAGCAAGAGCCCAGAGCTCGACCCCGCTTCCTCACTCAGTCCATTCTTAACTGTGCAGACCACTCTGTCACAAATACCCTCCCTTCGTGCCATCACTTTCTATCCCTTTACTCTGCTTTGTTTTCTTCATAGTAGGTATTACTATCTGATGTTATACAAGACATTTGTTTTATTTGTCCTTCCCCCTGCCCCTGTCATTGAGGACAGGAACTTTGTCTCATTTATTGTCCCCATCATCCAAACTGTGATCATTATTTGGAGTGATTTCACCTCCAAGAGTCAGCTGACAATGTCTAGACATTTTTGGTTGTTACTGCTGAGGGAGGTGGTGCTACTGGCATCTGGTGGGTAGCACCTAGGGGGTGCTGCTAAACACCCTGCACCGCACACGAGGACCCCACAACAGACAATTATGGGTCCAAAGTGTCAATAACTCTGCAGATGAGAAGCCCAAACTTGAGGCAACACATAGTTGATACCAAATATCAGTGGAATGAATGAATGAATCTTTTGTTTGATATTATACACTACAATTAGACTTAAGTTCTCATTTTATAAATAAATATAGTTATTTACTTCAGTACCTAAAATGACTTGTTGTTTGATATGACAGTTGAGCCAAAAATTACTTAAGTAAGTTTCATGGTTTAGAACTATCTCCTGTCCTTGCTAATGGTGATACATAGTTTGACTTGGTGTTAAAATAATTGGTATTGAGAATGGAGCTCTGCTGCTGGAGTACAAGGAGTTCTTTTATAACCTTGTGACTGCAGGGTACTTACCCTGGTCTTTGATACAGTGAGAAAGCATGCTGTTTCATCATTAAGTAGAAAGAACTAAAGGAGAAAATCTGCCAGAAACATTTTCTGTCATCAATTTCAAACCCTAAAAAGAAAATACTTAAGGTTCAAGACATTTTTAAAAGTGGAAAAATAATTCTGGAAAAGTTAGAAAAATAGTTTGGGCTGAGTGGTAACCCAGATAGTATCAGATGAACAGGAATCACTATTTTGTTCTATTTAATTTCTCAAAGAAAAATAATATATGCTAAGCTAGGCAAAGTGGTGTGTGTCTGTCATCCCAGCTACTCAGGAGGCCAAGGCAGAAGGATTGCTTGAGCTCAGGACTTTTGAGTTCAGCCTGGGCAACATAACAAGACTTAGCTCTTTAAAAAACTGTTTATGAGGGTATTCTCTCAACCTCTCTTGTCCACAAGAGTGTTTGTATTTTTTAAGGAGGCAGCTTATATTCAGAGAGGAGAAGGGACTGTAACATGTTCAAGAAGCCTGCCTGCTGTCCCCAGGTGCAGTTGTGGTTTATTTGTGATGGTTTATAATTGACAGTGGACGGTAGACTTTCTTAATGGAGCTGTTTAAAAAAAACACACTCCTTATTCATTTATATGATAATATAAATAGTCTAAATAATCTGTGTTAACTACCCATTTTCACCATGTTACCCATAGGTACCATGTATCATTTGGACAGACCTCTAAGGAGCGGAATTAAAAATGTTTTGAGATGTCCTTGACTCCCTTTTCTCCTCCACCTCACAGCCAATCCCTCTGCAGCCTTCAGGCTCCACTGCCAGGATGCATGCAGAGCATCTGCCCCCTCCTCCAGCCATTGTCACTTTCTGCCTGGAGACTGCAGGAGCCCCACACATGGGCTGGAGTGATGCATTGAGACATAGGTCTTTTAAACACCTACTGTGTTTCTTCATTTCAGTCAGAGTAAAATCTGAAATTCCTGCCATGGCTTGTAAGGCAGGCCCTGTCTGATCCCACCTCAGCTGTCTTGCCTGCTCCCACCTCTTCCCCTGGGTCCACTTTGCTCCAGCCCCACGGCTGCCTTGCTGCCAGCTATGCCCAGCTCAGGGGTCTTCACGCATCATTCCCTCTGCCTGGAACCCCTGTCACCAACATCCACACAGCTCCTCTCACTTCTTCCTGGTCTCTGCTCAGTTGTAACCTTACCAGAGAGGCCTTTTCTGACTTCTTAATAGAATAAAAGAGTTCCTTCTTTTTGTAGCACTTAGCACCTCTGAAAATATGTTTTATGTATTTTATTATTGTTTTCTGCACCCGGTATGCAAGCTCTGTGGATGCAGGATTGTCCTCTCTTTGTTTACTGCCGTATCCAGGCCCTGCAGCAGGTGGGGCACACAGTGCGCAGCACGTGTTTGTTAGAAGAGCAAATGATTGCCTAGGAGGAGACAGCAGTGTGGATAGTGCATCCGTCTTTGATTTGTCTCATCATGAGAAATCTAAGTCAAAACCTTCATATTTGCTCATAAGGATCTGTGTAGAAACTCTTATTCAGACATACTTTTGAGCATGACTACGTCCTGATCCTTAAAATTCCTATTGTATGGGTACAAATGAAAATGAAAGCTTGTCTTATTTTGGAAATGGAGAGCAGTGAGGTGGATTGTTATTCTATCAAATGTTCTGAAGCTTATGCTGCATCTCACTGGTTGCATGTCTTTTCATTGCAGGCGCATGCCAAGCCTACTGGAGTATTTGAGTTACAACTGTAACTTCATGGGGATCCTGGCAGGCCCACTTTGCTCTTACAAAGACTACATTACTTTCATTGAAGGCAGATCTTACCATATGACACAATCTGGTGAAAATGGAAAAGAAGAGACACAGTATGAAAGAACAGAGCCATCTCCAAATGTAAGGTCATGAGATTTATCTGGAGCCTTTATTTATTTATTTATTTTTTGAGACAGAGTCTCGCTCTGTCGCCCAGGCTGAAGTGCAGTGGCCGGATCTCAGCTCACTGCAAGCTCCGCCTCCCGGGTTCACGCCATTCTCCTGCCTCAGCCTCCCGAGTAGCTGGGACTACACGCGCCCGCCACCTCACCCGGCTAGTTTTTTGTATTTTTTAGCAGAGACGGGGTTTCACCGGGTTAGCCAGGATGGTCTCAATCTCCTGACCTCGTGATCCGCCCGTCTCGGCCTCCCAAAGTGCTGGGATTACAGGCTTGAGCCACCGCGCCCGGCCTATCTGGAGCCTTTATAGCATGAATTGGTTAGTCTTATTTAAAAATACAAATACTTTCACATTGGGAACTTATCCATCTGTTTCTTTAAAAATACTTTTCAAGATAAATGACTCTTCACACCGTACCTAGTAGAAGTACAGTCATGATTAAGAACACAAATAAGGTCACTTCAGAAACTATGTGCTGAATTCCTCAATGAGAATAATGCTTTATAGTTACAGGGGATTTTACAAGAAAGCTCTTATCATGGAATTGGCCAGCCTAATAATTTTCCAGGCCCCCTTTCCCCTTCCCCCTTTCCCCTTTCCCCTTCACCCTTTCCTCCTTCCCCCTTCCCGCTTCCTGCTTCCCACTTCCCTTCCTTTTCTTTCTTTCTTATTTCTTTCTTACCTATGCCTTGTGTTCCAGCAGATTGTAAACACTCTGTATCCTCCATTTCTTTTTTGCTTTTCCTCTCCTCTTCTTAATTATTGCCAGTTGAAATCTTTCTTCTCTTTAAAAGCCTACTTCAAATATCACCTTTTTCCACAAAACAGCTCCTGATTCCCACAATGAAGAGATTAGTAATATTATAAAGATATTAATAGTAGCTAACGCTTTGACAGTGCTCACCATGCGCCAGGCACTGTGGTGTGGACCTCACACGTAGTTACTCTTTCAGCCCTCACAGCATTCATACAAGGTAGGTGCTGTTTTTCTCACCATCTAACAGATGAGGAAACTGAGACTCAGGCTAAGTGATTTGACGAAGATTTCCCAGGTTGGCAGTAGAACTGGAATTCACACCAGTGCAGTCTGGTTTCAAGTCTATGCTAAGTTGCCTTACAACCAAACATAATTTTTACTTTCTTTAAGCCATTGGGGCATTTGAAATTGCTGGGATGCTGCTTCATAAAGAAAGGCAGTGAGGCTCTGTATAGGCTAAGTTTCTGTTAGATTTCATCTGGTAAAATGTATAGTTTCCATGAAAAAGAGTAGGCCAATCAGGAAGTCTGTCAGATGAAGGAAAGGGGCTAGTGTGTTTTCTCTGAACGTAGGGCTTAGAGCAAGGGGTCACCTTCTTTCTCCTGCAAATCTACCACCCTCTACCGTGTGGGCAACAAAGAGTGAATGTAGAAATGTACATGCACTCGCAAAAGATAGTATATTATCTCTTTCCTACCATGTGGCTCATTGTATTTTATACCAGAAAGGTGTTTTTGTCTTCATATTTTCTATTACTGGTTAAGTGTTGAGAAATGTCATATCAAACTGAGTGGGATTCCAGACTTGAAATTGATGTCTGTTCATTGACTGTTTTGTATCTCCAGGATGACCACTCAATCTTTTAGCGGTCTCCCTGCTGTAAGAGAAGGTAAAGACAATTGTAGACAGCTTCTTAGAAATTTATTTGGGAATGCTAGAAGGAGAAGAAAAACCTAGGAATCAAGATGCTGGACTGTCAGTGGCCAGTTTGGCTCGTCATTTCGGCACATCACTTAATGTGTATTAGTCCTTTTCTGCAAAAGGAGAATCTTAATGTATTCCCCATTTTAGAGACTGTATGAAGATCAAATGATTTTGTAAAATACTTGAAAATATCCAATGTTATAAACATGTGATAGTAGTAAATCAAACTTGACAAAGAATAATACAAATGTATATATTCTGTCACTTCACCGAGTTTTTATGGGTTTTACTCTCTTGAAATGTCACTTTCCTCTTTTGGGTTATAGACATCCTAAATCAGAGGTTGTTGATAATGGCAAATATTCTTAATGTTTTTTCCCACCATTTTAATAATATATTTTATTTAAATTTCACATGCGTATACTTTAGAAAGTCAAATAGTGGTAGTTAGTCATAAGTCCCTCAAGGGGCATTTGGAAGCTCCTTTTGCATCAGTGGAGTGCGTAGATGCTCAGGATCCTAAGGAGGATGCTCATGGAGCCCACTGGCTCTTCTGTCGGGGACCTCTCCACTGTCCTCTCCTCTGTCTGCATCAGTTAGGATATGGGTTTGGCTGCTGAAACAAGGACCAAAATAACAGGAATTAAACAAGGTGGAAATTTGTTTTCATGTTACACGTGGGACAGCTCACCTGTAAGCAGTGCATTGATAATATGGGGGCCCCAAGGTGTTAGAGATCGAAGCTCCATCTTCCCTGTGCATACTACTTTTGCTCGCATCCTGTCGGCCAGAACCTAATCATACGCCACACTCAGGTGCACCAAAGGCTATGATGTGTCATCTTTAGCTAGACTTCTAAGCACTCAAGAGAAACTTCCTTTTCTGTGCAGGAAGGGGAGGAGGGCTCCTGGGTAACACTTGGCAGTCTCTGTCATGATGTCTGTAGCCATTTCTCTGGGGCTCTTTGGTTTTTTGAGTGAAGGATTCTCCAGTCTTCTGCCTGGGGCATACAAACTTGACTGCTGGGACTCTGGGTCTAGGCAGGGAAAGGGGGCTGAGGATGTCACCTCTCAGGATACAGGCTGTCCTGGTATTCTCTACATTTTCATTGCAGCACCATATCCCTGCCCTGCTTCAGAACCGTATAGTCTTGTGGCCACAGTACTTCTTATTACATTACTAAAATGATATGCCTCATTTTAAAATTAAAGTATGGGGCCATTTATTTCATCTTGCTTCATTTATAATTACAATTTTTTTCTCTTCCATTTTAAAATCTCATAATTCAAATGTATAGGTAAGATATTTGGGAGGCATTGAAGAAAGAGTAGCCTTATTTTATTAAAGAAAGGGATAAAAGACAATGGAAAATGAGAATAACTACTGCTGCAAGGAGTCTTTGAACACTGAGTTCCACCTTGCAGGAGCAACCAATAATAAAATACTGTTCTCAGAAGTGCAGTGCATCCGGCATATGCTTTGGCTCTTGCCTTGGAGCTTTTCTTTTGGCACTATTATATAAAGTGTTAAAATGTGGAGCTTGATTGATAAATTACTTCAGTTAATTTGAGTACTGTTTGGTTACTATATAGAGCATTTCTAAATCCAGGTATTTTGTTGCATACTTCATCTGAATCCAGCCTTCTCTTTGCTTGTTTCTTTTTCTTCATAGCCTATATAATCTCTTTCATACCAAATGAAGTTGAAATATTCTGGCCTTCTACAAATATAAAAACAGCACGAGTTGTAAAAATACAAAACACCATGAGTTGGTAATGTGACCTTACCGCAGCATTGCTGAGAAAAGCGTCTTCTTTTCACTAATTTTATGCAAATTCTTATTCTTCTCAGGTGTATAGCTCTTTTGGTTTTTATTATTCTTGAACAAAGTTGTGTTAACTTTCAGATTTACAGAGATGCATAGATTGTTTATTGTAAAAATAACATCCATGAGATGCCTAGAATTTGGAAAATATAGAAAAGATGCAATGGAAAAAAATATATATCCGTATAAAATTTACTGCCAGAAGTAATTAATGTTAATTTTTTTGTATTCACTTCCATTCACACCAATACACTTATGCTTGCTTTTAGATTTTTTTTATTTCCTGAAAGTTCTGAATACAAAATGGAGGTTTTAGTATGAGTTGAGCAATAACCCCTAGGTAGTACTTACAGATACAGTTGGAAAAGTTCATACCATGAGACTATGGAAGACTTTAAATGCCAAGTGCAATGCAGCTCTTGAATTTTGACCAGGAGAATTGTAGGACATTGTAGGATCGTTCAGGAAGGTTAATCTGTCAATAATACATAGAATGAATTAAAAGGAGCATGGATAAAGTTGATGAAGTCTCGCCTTGTACTTTTCAGACTGCAGTTATTCAGAAGCTCTTAATTTGTGGGCTGTCCTTGTTATTTCACTTGACCATCTGTACAACATTACCTGTGGAGTACAACATCGATGAGCATTTTCAAGCTACAGCTTCGTGGCCAACAAAGATTATCTATCTATATATCTCTCTTTTGGCTGCCAGACCCAAATACTATTTTGCATGGACGCTAGGTAAGTAACATGTAAATAGACTTCCCTGTGTCTGTGTTGAAGCGTTTCTTACCTTGTTGGTAGATTGCTATCAGTGCGCCCTCTTGAGGATACATAAAGACCAATTGGAAAAATTAAGTCATCTGTGTAGAAAAAACAGCCCTCACAACTCGTATGTAAGGATATTCTAAAAACTGAATCAATTTTATTATAATACAAAATAAAAGTAAATGGATCAATGAAAAGACAACAGATATTTGTTAAATGCCTATTGTATTCTAGATTCAGTGCTAGCCAGGATAGATACAAGTATGTATAAGACACAGTCCTCATCCTCCAGATGGTTATAATTTAGTATGATTGTATTCAGCTTACCATTTTGATACCTGTTAAATAGACCATTTAGTATAATATGATCAGTAGTTTATCAGCAAAGTGAATAAAATTATATTGGCACACTGATAGGGAGTCATCAGTTATGCTTGGCAGGTAGAGCAAATTTTAGAGAAAAGATAACATGCAATCATGCCTTTAATTGAATGTGGGCCAGTTATGGTAGCTCACGTCTATAATCCCAGCACTTTGGGAGTTGAAGGTGGGAGGATCACTTGAGGCCAGGAGTTCAAGACCAGCCTGGGCAACATAGTGAGATCCCTCTCTCTACAAAAAGATTTTTAAAAATCAACTAGGCCTGATGGCGTGTGCCTGTATTCCCAGCTACTTGAGAGGCTGGAGTGGGAGGACTGCTTGAGCCTAGGAGTTTGAGGCTGTAATGAGCCATGATTGCACCCCTGCACTCCAGCCTGAGCAACATAGTGAGGTTTTAGTATGAGTTGAGCAATAACCCCTAGGTAGTCTCAAAAACAAAAACAAAAAGATTAAATGTGATTTCACAAAGTGGAAAATGGCTAGTTTTTCACTCATGAGCAAAGAGAGATGAAGGTACCTCGCTTTGCATGGCAGATGTTAGCAGGGGCACGTAGGAAGGAAGGACCTGGTCAGGTGAAATGGGCTTTCACAGGACCTTGCCTGCTCTGCTGAATGAGCCACAGGAGGCTTCAGGTAGGCTGACAGCCTGATCCTGTGGCAGAAGAAGATGATTCTGGCCATGTTTTGAAGGTGGGACTGAAGTAGAGAGAATGCTTCATTGGATAAATTGAAACCTCTTTTATATATGTGTTGCCTTTTTTATCTCACCCACAAGATTATAAACTCCTTTATTCTTAAGATTGTGTTCTGCTTGCCTTGTTTATATTTGTTACTCAACAAATATTTGAATGAATGCATGAAGAAACACCAGCCAATAATTAGGCCTCTGAGGATTAGCATTTTACTGTCGGTTTTATTTTGATTACAATGAAATACAGTTTGAGGCTGGAATCATTATTTTCAGTCTTTCATCATATAGCTGTGCACAGTAGCATCATTAAAAGTTGTTTTAACCTGGTGAGTTAATGGCCAATTAAAATATAATGTTACTTTATGGATTTTAATCTAAGATTTAAGGATTGAACATTTTTATTGTAGCCAAATTTAGACATCAATAATACCAAATTAAATTCCTGTACTACTTAAATTCTGACTTTAAATTGAGACTGAGAACTTTCCCAAACAAACGTGGTACTTTTAGGGGTTTATAAGACTTGTGACCTATTGGTTGAATCACTAGATTTATAGAATGTAAGAGTTCTGCATGTTTTTGGATTTGGTTGGACATCTAATTGTTGAAAATCTTATCAATAGAACAAGGGCATTGAATTTATAAGGCTTTTGAGAAAAATCACAAGATCTCTGTAAATACGTAAAAATATACAAGATTTATCATTAGGCCGGGCACAGTGGCTCACACCTGTAATCCCAGCATGTTGGGAGGCTGAGGCAGGAGTTTGAGACCAGCCTGAGCAACATGGTGAGACCCCATCTCTTCAAAAAAATTTTTTTAAATTAGTCAGGTGTGGTGTTACATGCCTGTGGTCCCAGCTCCTCAGAAGTCTGAGGTGGAAGTATTGCTTTAGCCAGGGAAGTTGAGGCTGCAGTGAGCTGTGATCGCACCATTACACTCCAGCCTGGGTAAGAGTGAGACCCTGCCTCAGGAAAAAAAAAAATTATCATTAATTTTTTATTTGCAATTATGACAATTAAAATGATTGTTTGGGTACTTCTGATCTTCCAACCCCAATATTTGGTTTGAAAAATGAATCTTGTGCATTTTTACATATTTACAAACCAAAGCAAAGGTGAGTTAATTCCTTTTCCCTGATTCTTTCTTAAAGAAATAATCATATTAGAATATATATGAATGACAATTTGAAATTGAACTATATTTAAAGAATTTAAAGAATTTTTAGCTATAAGGCAGTAAAGTTATTCCATTCAATAAATACTTATACTATGTCTGTACTGTCTTAACACAAGTAATGGTTGAGTCCCTGGTAATGGTTCAGCCCTGAGGTTCAGGTTTCGACTCTGTCAGTGGAGTCGCCAGCTGAGGCTCAGCATGCATGTGCCCACGTTCATCTCCACCCCCACTACCTTTTTTAAATTGTTCATTTGGTTGTAAAATTGGAGTTTAATGATCTCTGGAGGTCCAAAAATCTGTTTTTTGGGAAATCCAAGAGTTCCAAAATTCTTTAATTTTTTGTATTTTGTTAATAATTTATAAAATAGTATGAATGTATTCTGGATCATATGGACAGTTACTTTCCAATTTTTGTATCCACATGTACATTTTTCAAATTATAATTTCATGGATAGTAGTGGCTAGACAGACTATATTTAATTCCTTAATTCAGGGTTCTCAAAATGGGAATCAGGCTTCTCATCTCCACAGCCATGTGGCCCTGCCCTTTCCTCCTTAACACCTCAAAAACACGATGTATTGGGATCTGAGCAGTTTTTTTCCCCTTTAATTCAAGTTTGAAAAACATTTAGCCCATGTAGGGACAGATTAAAGTTTAAATTGATGTTAATGGTCAGTTATTTGGAATATCTCTATATAATGACAACTTGGAAGCTCTCTCAGGGGTTACATTACCTGAGGTAAAGATTAGGTAGGGTCTGTGGTGGGAGACTGGGGGGCAGGGAAACATGGAAGGTGGACTCCTGCAGTTTGATATCCCCAGTTCTCTTCTCGTTTTGCTGACCATACCCTGGGCCAATCTTGTTGTCAAGTGTGAAGTTGCTCTTAGATCACAGTAGGGCTACAAAAGATGGAGAGGATGAATACATGAACAAATCAGAAGTGGAGGCACCCATGAGGAAGGGAAGGAGTTCCCCAGCAGCCATGTATATGGGTATGCTGCCCGTGTGGGTAACAGATTTTTATTTTTAATTCTGGGGCTTACCTTTAAGGCTCATATTTATGTGAACTGAACAAAGGTGGCTGACCTCATTAAACCTGACAAAGGAGTAAATCTTGTTTATTCTTTTCCCCAAAGTGTAATTTTTAAAGGATCTTGTTTGATGTACTAAAATGCACTAATGAACAATAAAACAGTTTAAGGATACATGTTTGTATAGGCATATTATTTTGCTGGACTTTGATGGATTTCTGTTTGTTTATTCTTTGGTCATGATACAAGTAGCATAAACAGTTTTCTAGTTGATTGGAAAAGGGCTCATTTGAGGCAGGAGGATTGAGGTAGGAGGCCAAGGCAGGAGGATTGAGTCAGGAGGCTGAGGCGGGAGGCTGAGACGGGAGGATTGAGACAGGAGGCTCAGGCAGGAGGATTGAGGCAGGAGGCTGAGGCAGGAGAATTGAGGCAGGAGGCTGAGGGAGGATCATTGAGGCATGAGGATTGAGGCAGGAGGATTGAGGCAGGAGGCTGAGGCAGGAGGATTGAGGCAGGAGGATTGCTTGAGCCCAAGAGTTCAAGGCTGCAGTGAGCTATAATCCTGCCACTCCAGCCTGGGGAGAGACAGAGGGAGATCCTGTCTCTATTTTTTGAAAATTCTAGAGACATATACACAGAGTAGGTTCTGGTGAACCAAGAAAGAAAGAAAATGGAAGGAAAATATTATGCCTCACTTATATATTATTGTTTATACTAAACTTCAAATATATGATTAAAAAGAATATGGTGCTCCCAGAGCAAAAACATTCCCTTAGCAACTTTTTGGCAGCTGGTTGAGCATACTCTGCTGTGTTCCACTGGCACAGCTAATGTTGGGGAGCGTTTCCTGTTCGAGTCTTCACCTTTACCTGCTGGTCTGCAGCAGCTTTTAAACTCCATCTGCCCCCAACTCATGCATAATGTGTCATGTATTACTGCCTAACCAAATTGTGCTGGATGTGTTATTTTCATTGTATGTGATGTTGTTTCTGACCTAAAAATTAGAACAAATCTACTTTTACTGTCTAAGAATAAAATATAATAACACATACCTTCTGGGAGACTATGGTAGATTGTTGTGGAGATTCTTAATAGTTTTTTTTTGAATTTTGTTTTCTATAGCTGATGCCATTAATAATGCTGCAGGCTTTGGTTTCAGAGGGTATGACAAAAATGGAGCAGCTCGCTGGGACTTAATTTCCAATTTGAGAATTCAACAAATAGAGGTGAGTCAATCATTAAGAAGTTAGTTAGTATATACTTTAAGTACCAAGTTTGCTTTCATAAGTTATGGTGTGATGTCCTAGGAGTGGTATTGAAGGTCTTTTAATATTAACATTCATTCTTTCATTTAACCAATATATATTGGTCGCCAACTATGTGCCCTGGGCACTGAAGACAATGAATAAGATAGATATAATTCAGGCCTTCATGGAGCTTTAGTTTCCTAGAGGTTACAGAATAAGGTAAAATAGGTGGTGATCAGAGAGGGGTAAGGCATATGGATATCCATGAAATAGGAATCCAGGTTAGTTTAGGTGTTTGGGGGAAGAAGGTCCTAAAGAAAATGATGCTTAAGCTGAGTCCCAAAAGACAGGCAGACACTCCAAGCAGAGGGAGCAGCCTGCGGGCTGAGAGAAGCTGTGTGGCTCATGTTGCTTCATAGTTGAGGGAGCCATGAAGGATGAGGTTGGGGAAGTGGAGGCCAGGCAGCCACACTCTTACAGGCCGTATTAAGAGTTTTGATCTTTCTTATAAGAGCAATGGGGCACTGTGGATGGATTATATGTGTAGCCAAGTGAGGTGATCATATAGGTGTTTTAGAAGGATCTGGCATGTAGAATGTATTTCCCTCAAGAGGCAGAGAGCTCTGTTAGGAGGATGTTTTGTTAATCCAAGATGATGGTGCCCTAAAGCACATACTGCCAGTAGGGCTAGAAACATATAAACATATTGGAGAGCTGTGTAAGAGACTTAACAGAACTTGGTGATAAATTGGGATCAGCAAGAGAGAATGAGTTATGAATCAGGCCCAGAAATCTGATTTAAACAACTAGGTTTATGGTGATACCTTCCACTTAGATAAGGAACAGAGAATAGACGTGAGTTTGAAGGGACAGGTAATATCTTCAAATCACAGACTTAGTGAGTTGTCTACCAGGCAGATCATGGTCAGACACTCAGCAGAGGCACCCGAGCTTGAGAGTAAAATCTGGGAACTGTCAGCACGTGGCAGTTCAGGCCCTGGAATGAGAACGAGAAGAGGTGAGAGTCTCTAAAAGAGCACCAGTACTGAGAGGCTGGGCAAAGAAATTCAGGAGTAGCCAGAAAGAAAAAAGGAGAAAACTAACTGGGCACTGTGGCTCACACCTATAATCTCAGCACTTTGGGAGGCTGAGGCAGGCAGATCGCTTGAGCTCAGGAGTTTTAGACCAGCCTGGGCAACATGGCAAAACCCCATCTCTAGAAAAAATACAAAAACTAGCTGGCATGGTGATGAGCACCTGTAGTCCCAACTGCTCAGCAGGCTGCAGTGAGCCGTGATTGTGCCACTTGCCCTGTAGCCTGGGTGACACAGTAAAACCCTGTCTCAAAAAAAAAAAAAAAACATTGTTTTGCCAGCTTATGAAAAGGATCATTCCAACATTCCAAATCCAACACCAAAACTTGAGGTGAAGAGGTCAAGCTGGATCCTCTGATGAGCCCTAATGTTGCTAAAAGTGGGCAGTCAGGCAGTAAGTGCCCGAGATGGGATGATGTAAGAAATACAGGCCATCACTGAGGTGTGCTGAGATACCCAAATCCGAATCGGATTTCTAGATCCTTCTAAATTTAGGGGGGATGTGGAGTATAGAGAGTAGGTTAAACACCAGGTCAGATCAAAAGGGGAAGTGCTATGGGACATATGACCCAAGCTATTACAGATTAAAAGGCTTTGGCCAAATGCACTGGATGAACCTTTTTTGGAATCCTGATTGACCAAAACCAACTGGAAAGGACTTTTGTAAACATCAGGAATATTTTAATACAAAGGGGGATTAGATGATGTTGAGGAATTATTATTAATTTTGTCGGATCATGGTCTTTTAAAAAGTCTTTATTTATTGGACACACATTCTGAACTAATTGCAGGTAGAATAAAAAGTCTGGTATTTGCTTTGAAATATTCTTAACAACAGTGTTGGCAATAAAAATGGAGAAGGAGAGGGAAAAATTGATCATTATTGAAGTTGAGTAGTGGATATAGCGGTGTTTCTGACCTTTAATTATTAACACCTTAAGGGGAGTTTTGAGACACTCTTTTCCTAATAATTTCCCCCCTGAAATTTTAATACCACAGATACACTGTATATCTGTATACCTATTGATATACTACTGTATGTATATATGTTCTTCTTACATAAAAAAAGATATTTTTGCCCCTTAAGAACCAATTTTCGTCTCCTGGGGGCGATATCACCCCTGCTGAGAGTGCATGGTGTAAGAAAAAGTAAAGAAAGGAGTTAATTTTTCTGAAGGAAAAAATGGTCATCAGTGCTAAGTGCCACTGAGATACCAAGTAAGAGAAGGATACAAATGCCTTAATTATTTATTTATTTATCTATTTTCTGAGACAAAGTCTCACTCTGTTGCCCAGGCTGGAGTGCAGTGGCGTGATTTCGGTTCACTGCAACCTCTGCCTCCCGGGTTCAAGCGATTCTCCTGCTTCAGCCTCCTGAGTAACTGGGATTCAAGGCGCCTGCCACCACACCTGGCCAGTGTTTGTATTTGTAGTAGAGAGGGTGTTTCACCATGTTGGCCAGGCTAGTCTCAAACTCCTGACTTCAGGCAATCCACCCATCTCGGCCTCCCAAAGGGCTGGGATTACCGGCATGAGCCACCGTGCCCATCCTTGTTTATAGTTTTATGAACAACAGTTTCAGGAGAGGGATTGTCATAAAGGCCAGATTATACAACTCCTAGGAGTTCATTCCCCATAAAGGGAAGAGGGTAGAAATAGGGCAGTAGCTGAGGGGAACAGGGAATTAAGGAGAGCTGTTTGTTTAATTTTGTTTTAAAATGGAGAGATTAAAACATGTTTACCGAGTAGGAGACTATTTGGAGGGGAGAGTGTGAAGCTTCTCCTACAGTTGAAGGAGAGAGACCTATTGATCATTGAAGTCCCTGAGAAGATGGAAGTGGAGAGATTGGCCCTGAAGGAGAAGGACCACTTCTCCTGTTATAAAGACAGGAAGGAGGGCAGGATAAGTATGTGTGCAGCTGAGTGTGTAGTTTGATGGTGAGAATTGGAGTCTGATGATTTTATATCGTCTCTGTAAAGTAGGAGGCCAACTTACCTGTTGTGAGGGAGAAAGGAGGTGATAGGACCAGAGATATAGATGGGGTATTAGGTTGAATCATGTGAAATTGCTGACACTTACCTCTTCTTGACTTTATTTTAAAAAAAAGAGAAAAGAAAATTTCAAATGGTTCAGTCCAGTAGCTGTTTTCAGGAAGAGGAGAATGAACTGTCTAGGAAAACAGGATTATAGGTTGAGGGCTCAGTCGTGGTGGAGAACCATGAACCATGAACTTCAGACAAAGGTCTGAACTGTGGTGATACTCTGCACTCAGCGTGCAAATGTTACCAGTGGGAGAGTGGACAGTGTGGTTGATCTGGAATTAGGGTTTTGATAAGGAGGTGAATGGAAAGGAAAAATAAACAAAAGCATTGAAGATTCTGACATAAGAATAGTAAATAATGGAACACAAAATCTAAAATGGTCAGAAGTGAAGACCAGAGGAAGAGAGAGTTACATAGGATTAAAGTAGGGTGGGAGACGAAAGGCCCCCTCTGAGATCAAAGAATAGCTTTAGTGGGAGTAACTTGAGAGAGGAAGCTGGGAAGGTGGGACGCCCTGCGAGATCTGGGTGTACAGATTCACTCTTTCAGGGGCAGCACAGCCAGGCAGCACCGGAATTGAGAGTAGCCAGGGCATCGAGAGACGATGGCAGGGCAGGATGTTGCGGCGGACATCTGCTTCACCCAGAACCATGGCGGAGCTTGGTGGGAAGGAGGTAATGAGGTAGGCGCCCCAGTCTTCACTGTGAGAGGGAGGCCATCGACAGGCATTTGTACACACTCTCAGGAATTTCTCTGGAAGAATTCCATGACATCCCTTGTAAATGTTAACATACAGGAGAAAATGGTGATGATCCATCTACCTCATAGATGTTCCCAATAGTAAATAAACTTGTCTTATATAGAATGATGTTACCATATTAGAAAAACAAGATTAAGGAAAGAGAAATCAGTATACTACCATTGATGAGTATAAGTAATCAATGGTAGTATACAATTAGTATAAGTAATCAATTACTTAACATTGTTAAGTAATTTTTGTTTTAATTTTTTAGCATAATAATATATTATTACTTAGATTTAAAGCTTCATTATTTTGTGACACAAAGAAAAAAGTTTCCTTTTTTTTCAGATGTCAACAAGTTTCAAGATGTTTCTTGATAATTGGAATATTCAGACAGCTCTTTGGCTCAAAAGGTGCGTTCCTTCAAAAACAATCTTTAGATGTGCTTCGGCGTCTAGTTCTTGAGGTTGAGCTTCATTGAATTCAGGTTCTTGATTAAATTAACAGTGTTGAGTGACATTGTAACCTCACTGTCAGCCAGGAAACACTGTTAGCCTCCTCCTAAGCAAGTCAGTATCGAATGAGAACTATTTTGGCTTGAGTCACGAATGTAGCTATCCTGCAGGTGCAGCTATCCTGCCCTCTCAGCCTCCTTTAAAGGCCTCTGCCAATGTCAGAGGTCACCAGTATCCTCCTTTGCAGCTCCTGATCCTGTTCAGTAGAGATGTGGTTTAAATTAACAAGTGCCTGCACAAGCACAATACTTATGCCTGGGTACTCCAGAACAGTCCCGGTTTTAAATATTTCAATTCAACAAATCTTTATCTGTTAGGCAAGGGATAAAAAGACGAGTAAGATAAAAAGACTCAGCTCCTGAAAGTGAAAGAGTTTGCAGTTTTGTTAAAGACACGGTGGTGTAATCAGACACGTGCTGTTCCCTGTTGTGAGGATTAGGAGAGGGAAAGCAGGAACAGTGAGGGCACACAGGGATGCAGGAAGAAATTCCTGGAGTGTGGATGCTTGAGCAGAGGTTTGTGTCAGGAGTGTGTCTCCTCAACAGGGCAAGGTAGAGGCAAGACAGGCTGGGTGGAGTAACAGGTGCGAAGGACAGAGCTGGGGAACAGTGCACTCTCCCAGGGGTTCTCTTACCGTCCCTGTGAGCACATTGCCCTATCTTGAACTTAGTTCATTAAAAACGGCCCCTATAATGATAGGGCGCTAAGCAGCCTTGTTTTATAGTGTCCTTTTTAAAATGACAAATGAAACATGTTTGTCCCTTGAGATGGCGAGCATACGCTAGCATCTCTTCACAGTGCCTGGCAGAGTCTCCCCAGTGGCTGCAGATCCTCTGAGCTAATCTGTTGTGTTATTTTTTGTTATTGTTATAATTTAAATTTGATACCTTAGGGAAACTTTATTTTCACTGCGTTCTCTATCTCTGTTATAGGAAAACTGTAGACTAAGCACAGTCTATCTGCCAGAAAGAGTAGTGTTATTAGGTCATTTGAAAGTTATTGATGTTTTTTTTTAAATAAAATAATGTAGGATAAAAGTAACCTTATCCTTTTTGTGAATTGTATAGACTCCCAAATACTAGAAATGATCATTTACTATATATACCAGTAAGAAGATAGGAATTAACTTTATGTTCCTAAGTTTGACACTTAATAGCTATAGCCTTCCTGAGATCATAGAGAAGTGATTGCCTAAGATAAGTTGTATTTGTTTTTCTAGTTACCCTAAATCCTGTCAGGTAATAAAAGAATGATCATTGCAGGCTTTGTAAACTCGGGTCACTCACTCCGCTTGGCTCTCCATGTTTTTCATGGTTTCTAGGGTGTGTTATGAACGAACCTCCTTCAGTCCAACTATCCAGACGTTCATTCTCTCTGCCATTTGGCACGGGGTATACCCAGGATATTATCTAACGTTTCTAACAGGGGTGTTAATGACATTAGCAGCACGAGCTGTAAGTATCAAGAATTTTATTTTACAATTCAATGGTCCACTTGAACTGTTAAAAAGGCTGAGTACATCTCTCTTACAAGGTAGACCCTCTTTCCTTGGCCATAGTCAGTATTGTCCTTTCCACTAGAAGCAAAGTGTGTAACTGTGTGCGTGTTTGCTGAGCACTCGCCATGGGCTAGGCTCCACGCCCAGTTCCTGTGAGGAGAAAACATGTTTCTATGTGCCTGGCAGGTAGGAGGCACTCACAAAATGTTACTTTGTCTTTACAGAATTTTCTGAAGGAGAGATAAAAACTGAGTTAAATAAAGATGATCAGAATGGGTAGGTTTATTTTAGAAATGTTTCCTGAAAGCTGTAACCTTTGAATCCTCTCTGAGACGAAGAGTAGACTGTGCGAGGCCAAGACAGTGGATGAGCCACACTGGAAGTGGGCACAGTTCTCTAAAGTATTTGCCCAGATAGAACCTAGAGTAATATTTTGGGAAACAATTGAGAAATTAGGTTGGTGACGTGAGAGAGGTGAGGAGAAGGATAATTTAGTGTAAGCCCTTGAAAAGCAGTTAGAGGAAAGTGACGTGACAAAAACCACGTTTGAACAAGCTGCTAATGGCACTTACAGGTAAGAGGGTTTCATTTAACAAGCTAGCAGATATTTACTATATTCCATTTTGAGGTACTTTGGGGATATATGAGGGAAATTTCAAGAAGTATTGACTAAGGGTACCTTCCGGTAGTTTGTAGTCTAATTTGGGATAAGGTGTATGTGTGTGTACATACCTTACGCTTGCGTGTGTGTACACACACGTGCATCACAAGGCATGTGTGACAGATTCCATGGGTGTTATAAATACTAAGTCGCATAGGTGTTTAGAGATGGAAGAAGTCTCTTTGGGTTGGGTTAATTAGAGATGGCCCCATTAGGAAGGTGTTTGGATCTGGACTTTGAGAGATGAAAGTTATTTCAATAATGAGTGAAGTACAATGGGGAAGAAAATGACATTCTAAGCATGGGAAGGACATTAGCAAAACCCATAATTCGTAGTGGCTAGGCTCTGCTCTCTCTTGCCTAGCTCACCGCCATGGCAGTCACCTGCTTTTGATCCCATCCTGTTCACCAATGACAGATCCATTTGTCCTGAGGTACGGGCTTTCAGCATTCCATTCTTGCGCTTAAAAACTGTACCTAACTCCCTCCCACTGCAGACAGAATAGGATAGGCTTCTTTCCCACTTGGTGTTCAAGTTCTACCAATGCCCTCCTCCCTTCCCCCATTTGCCTCTCTAGAATTACCCAGGGTCTATGCACACATAAATTCTCTGCTTCCATTAGATTGACTTGTCATTCCCCAAATACACCATGCACTTGCACATTAGCAAAGCCAAGTTTGTCTTTCACAAATGCAGAGGTTAAATAAGAGTTAAGGATGAAGGTAAACCAAACTTTATTTATATACGATATTTTACCAAATATGATTTAAGGATCTCTAGGCAGTGTTGTCTTAAACTTTTTTTTTTGAAACTTTTACAGAATCTAATCTACAGAAAAGTTGCAAAGAACTTCTATATGCCCTTTACCCAGACTCACCAGTCATTTATGTTTTCCCTGTGACTTCCTCTCTTTTATACATAGTGTGTACAATGTGTATTAGCCTTTTTAGAACCAACTTTTTCCATAGTAGCAGTGTACATTCCCACTAGCAACATAGGAGAGTTTCAGTTACTCCACTCCACATCCTTCCAACAGTTGCTATCACCAGTGTAATTGCATAAGTAATGTTAATTTAAAGATACAGCAAATATTTTTGTTTCTTTATTTCAGATGAGAAATAACTTTAGACATTATTTCATTGAACCTTCCCAACTGAAATTATTTTATGATGTTATAACATGGATAGTAACTCAAGTAGCAATAAGTTACACAGTTGTGCCATTCGTACTTCTTTCTATAAAACCGTCATTCATGTTTTACAGGTAAGTGTTACTCTTAAAACTTTGTCAGTGGGAATAACTTTATTTTCAAAAGAAAGGTTCTTGCTATTGGATAGAATGGAAAAATAGTACCACAGCCACATTTCCTGCTGATAAATGCATTATCAGTTACTTTTTAATTCTGAATCAAGCAGTCTCAGCATTTCTCTGTGGAATGACTCATACTACTCACCCCTCAGATGACTGATTCAGCCAGGTAACCACTGCCTCAAACCTCTCCTAAATTTAACAGAAAGCTTCTTAGCTTAATTGTCCTGAACTAGCTATTTCCAAAGAATTATTAATTATCTTTTTTTTTTTTTTTGGGACGGAATCTCGCTCTGTCGCCCAGGCTGGAGTGCAGTGGTACAGTCTCGGTCACTGTAACCTCCGCCTCCCAGGTTCAAGCAATTCTCTGCCTCAGCCTCCCAAGTAGCTGGAATTACAGGCGCCCGCCACTACTCCAGGCTAATTTTTGTGGTTTTTTTTTTAGTAGAGACAGGGTTTCACCATCTTGGCCAGGCTGGTCTTGAGCTCTTGACCTCGTGATCCACCCGCCTTGGCCTCCCAAAGTGCTGGGATTACAGGCATGAGCCACCACACCCAGCCTAAGGAAAATAAATTATATTTTGTTTGTTCCTTTTCACTGTGTCTTTTATGTTTGATTGATACTGTGGTGATCTGTATGTTACAGAAATTGTCTTGAATTCTGTATTTTTATAATCTACTTATCTCCTCTCCCTGCCCACCAAATTCCACTCCCCCATATTAGATGGTGATATTTTAGAGATCAAAAACTTTATTCTTTTATAAATTCTTTATTACTCTAGCATTTAGAATGACTTAGCACAGAGTATATAGTCAAAAAATTATTGACTCAAATATGACAATAATTATACAGGAAGACATTAAGTAAGTCCTGCTAAAGTTTCCATTTTAACAATGTTAGTATATGTTTAAAAATGTGATTGGGCTGTTGGTTAGATTTTCTATCCCAGGTACTTTGTTCAGAATTACTTGGACTTACAACTATAGATACAGTTTAGGTTACATTCGATTTATATAATTTGAGAAATGATGTTTTCAATATTTTTAATAATGTCGCCTTTCTTTGCTTCATGGAAGTAACCATCAAGAAGCAATATTGCTTCTCTGTCACTCCCCTCATTAGAATATTTGTAACTTAGAGACAGTAAATAGCAGGTGAGGCCAGACTGGTAAAAGTCTTAACTATCTCCACATTTTCTTTGTTGACTCAACTTTTGATTCTGTGAATTGGGGAGATTTTCAGATGGCTACCGGTATTAATATGTACCTTTTTGTTTTTATTCTGTTTAACCATGGCCTTCTGACCCTTACAAAGGAATGTAATATGCTATCTAGAAAATCAGGCTTCTAATCAGCCTGGGTTTATCCAGTGCTATAAATACCCACTGGCCTACACTATCAGGTTTCTCCTCCTGAGGGGGAAGAATAAAAGAATAATGTAGTAAACAAATACATCCTAAGGTGGGCCACGGGACATTTTGACAAGCGGGCAGTTATTAAGGATTATTATTACATTTGAATAAGCTTTTTCCCTTTTTCTTTTAGCTCCTGGTATTACTGCCTGCACATTCTTGGTATCTTAGTATTATTGTTGTTGCCGGTGAAAAAAACTCAAAGAAGAAAGAATACATATGAAAACATTCAGCTCTCACAATCCAAAAAGTTTGATGAAGGAGAAAATTCTTTGGGACAGAACAGTTTTTCTACAACAAACAATGTTTGCAATCAGAATCAAGAAATAGCCTCGAGACATTCATCACTAAAGCAGTGATCGGCAAGGCTCCGAGGGCTGTTTTTTTTTTTTTTGATGTTAACAGAAACCAATCTTAGCACCTTTTCAAGGGGTTTGAGTTTGTTGGAAAAGCGATTGACTGGGGGGAAATGGACAGTTATAGATAAGGAATTTCCTGTACACCAGATCGGAAATGGAGTGCAACAAGCCCTCCCATGCCATATCCCCGTGGGCCACGCCTTATGTAAGAATATTTCCATATTTCAGTGGGTACTCCCAGCCTCAGCACTTGTCCTAGGGTCACATGCGTGCCCTGTTGCTGAATGTACGTTGCGTATCCCAAGGCACTGAAGAGGTGGAAAAATAATCGTGTCAATCTGGATGATAGAAATTAACTTTTCCAAATGAATGTCTTGCCTTAAACCCTCTTATTTCCTAAAATATTGTTCCTAAATGGTATTTTCAAGTGTAATATTGTGAGAACGCTATTGCAGTAGTTGATGTTGTGTGCTGTAAAGGATTTTAGGAGGAATTTGAAACAGGATATTTAAGAATGTGGATTTTTAAAAATGCAATAAACATCTCAGTATTTGAAGGGTTTTCTTAAAGTATGTCAAATGACTACAATCCATAGTGAAACTGCAAACATTTAATGGATGCCAAATTATAGGTAGCTGATTTTGCTGGAGAGTTTAATTACCTTGTGCAGTCAAAGAGCACTTCCAGAAGGAATTTCTTAAAACATAATGAAAGGTTTGGTAATGTGATATTTTAAGCTTATTCTTTTTCTTAAAAGAGAGAGGTGACTAAGGAAGGCAGGAATGAAGAAGCACTGCCTGGCCTCCAGTGGAATGCACAGGGTGGAGCCACAGCTCTGCAAGGCCACTTCTCCCCCACGCCAGGGCTCTGCACCATCATGTGAGACTTAAACAAAAAGTGGAATGACTTTGTGATACTTTGGACTTCTAAACTAAATTTATCAGGCATAAATTATGTAGAATTAGAAAGAGGCTTTGAAAATAATATCAGTAGGTTGCTCAAAGGTTTTGAAAGAGAAACCGCCAGGTAGGTTACTATCTGGCTAATCAATTTCTTATCCTTGACAATTTAATTCACATTTGGGAAACTTTTAGAGAAATGAAAACTGAAAGTCATTGAGTCTGGGTGACATTTTTTGAGAATAATACAAATTCATTTTCAAACTCTTCTCATATTAAAATTTTGCTGTGATCTCTTACTAAAATGAGTTTTAGGTTCTGTAAGTGGAAAAATGTGCTTTTATTTTATGGGCCATTTTTACCATGATTAATCTTGCCTTGGATTACTAGGTGTCTCCTGCAGTCCCACAGAGGACTGTGGTGGCCACAGGAGCTGAAGGCAGGAGAGCGGGATTTGACGCCAGGCCGTGCAGCGGCCTCAGCCCCAGATGGTTCCTCCTGCCCTGTGGGAGGGGAGGGGGCAAAGCCTTCTGACCTCACCTTTATTTGATCTATGTATGGAGCTTACTTTTACTTTTTGCCTTACATTTTTAATGAAATGCAAATTTTCTGTGATGAGTTTCTCTCTCTGTTTTTTCGGGGGTGGGGTCACTAATAAATTTGCAAATGAAGGACAAGGCAACCATCTAGCTTATGCTATATAATACTTCATTTAAAGAAGAAAGGAAAAGTAAATGCACTTGCAGCTTTTGAGGTCTCAGCAAAAATGGGAATGTGTCTTTTTTGAAGTTTAGAAATATCCTGATCTATTTTTATTTCTCTAAAAGTAAGTGTTTTCCAGCTGATAAGGCTAACCCTACCATTCCTTCTCAGGAAAGGATCGATAACTAAATAAATTTCCTCTGTTTTCCCATGCATTGAAATTATGTTGGCTGGGCGCGGTGGCTCACACCTGTAATCCCAGCAGTTTGGGAGGCCGAGGCAGGTGGATCACTTGAGGTCAGGAGTTCGAGACCAGCCTGACTAACATGGTGAAACCCCATCTCTACTAAAAATACAAAAATTAGATGGGTGTGGTGGTGCGCACCTGTAATCCCAGCTACTTGGGAGGCTGAGGCAGGAGAATTGCTTGAACCTGGGAAGTGGAGGTTGCAGTGGGCTGAAATTGCACCACTGCACTCCAGCCTGGGTGACAGAGGGAGACTCCGTCTCTCACACACACACACACACACAAAAAAAACAAAAGAAAAAAAAATTATGCTAGCTGTTTAATGTGAGAGAATAGAAAGAATATTCACGGAAAGTACCTGCCCTGTAAAATGTTTGATCATTTTCATTAATGTTGCAGAGAATCCAACTGCTATTAAGAGAAAGTGAACAAATTAAGAATATAAAAGACAGGTTCAGGCATGTCATAAGTGAAAACAAGAAGGCTTAATACAAACTTGTTGGGTTTTGTTTTTGTGTGTGTGTTTTTTTTTTTTTTTTTTTTGGTTCAGCCTATCTAGCCACTTACAAATAATCACATTTCTGTTACTTGAATTTACTTTATTTCTCAGCCTGTAAACCTTAGTCACTGTTACCTATTTCTTGCTCAGAGAATATAATCTTAGCACCGTCATCTAGAAAGCAAGATATTTGATTTGTTTTCCGGTTCCTTTGAAGATAATAATTCCATGTCCAGTTTGACTGATTTTCATACCCCTGAATCAACTAGTTATTTTTATGAAATGGTTTTTGGATAGCTCTCCTCTAGTTTGGAGAAGTAATAATAACAAAGATTAATATTTTGCTTTTAGTACTTACAGTAGAAGAATTTTAAACTAGTATGTCTACTCCTGTTAAATAGAAATGGGATTCATTGTATTATGTGCTTGCTTTTTTTAAAATCAATAGAATAAGATTCAATGCATATTTATGTTATATATTTTCCACTATTCAGGTATCATGAAATCACTCCAGAGATGATCAATCAACATCATATTTATACTTTTGGTTAATTATATACTACTCAGGGAAAAAATGAACAAAAATAATTATTCATCCTTCAATTTCATTTTCTTGAAACAGAGTTCGTTTAATTTGGTATGCCTCAGCTGTCACCATTTTATAAGTGGCTTGTTCTGTTTTTAAAATAAGTATTTTTATTGGAACTCAGGGTAATTGGGGGAATTTATTTAGCTTCTGAAATATCCAGCAGGATAGAGAAGATTTATTTGGCTTCACAAATGTCTGGTGACCCCTTCTTTTATTAGCCACTACTGCCCATTTGATTCAAAAATAAATTTATTGGTCTCCACCATGTGTGACACACAGGATTTCCAAACATACCACTTTTAAGAAAAATGTGCAGTAGAAAGGAGGTTTCTAGAAAGTGACGGTAACTCACATTTAAGCACTACCTGACCTGGGAGGGGACCTGGATCTTCATTCTGGTTCTGCCTTTCATGAGACTTAAGACTTGGAGGAGCCACCTGTCCTGTAAACCCCAAGTTCCTCAGCCATAAGCAAATGGGTTCATCCTAAGAGTTCAGGACCAGTTGGGTATCATGAATGGAGCCATTAGCAAGGTCTGTAGGATTCAAGAAGTTGGACAAATTCACAGTCCACACTATTGTCATGGTTACTGACTTGTACTCCTTGAGCTCAAAGCCCTGACATTTCAAAAGGTTGTCATGATAACAGTGAAACCTCTGAATCCCTTAAATCAGAAGGCGTGGCAAATACTTTTTCTACTGGCAATAGCTCTCACAATGAGTGTTTCATAATGAAATGTCTCTGCTGAAGAAAACATGTTTTCCTTTTGCTTTCTCTGCTTTGTTGGTTTCTGTGTGTGCTGTGTAACATTGGAGAAGATACATGCTCTGGAATATTTTATACAGATTACTGACTACTGGACAGTGTTTACCACTGCACAACATCTCAAAGTTATTCAAGGATGTTTAAAGCATATTTACTTTAGTTACACCTTATTTTAAACTCCAGAAAACAATAGCTTTAAAATTTTTGACATTAAAATAATTATAAATGTATACTTTTACTCGAGGACTAGATCACAATTTTAGGACAAAAATCTTTCCTATTTAAAATTAATGCCTTGTAAATATTTAGTTTATATATTCATGAACAAATCTGGACATTTATACTTTTTTTTGTTTCCTTATCAACTGTTCACAATTATTACTTAATTGGTTTTAACAGTTCTACATTATAATTGAAAGAAAAACTACTTGAGCGACTGATTGTTTCAGAATAGTGCCTACTATTTCTGTGTCAGCTAAAAATGTGTCCAGAGTTTTAGATATAAGCTAGTATTTTGTGGAGTTTTATCCAGGCATTAATAGTTCTTCCTGGCTGAAATTTAATACATCAGATTTAATATAGGTGCAGAATCCTAAATAACACTGTGAGATGTAATCTTAACTGCCCTCCATACCTTAGAAAACTGCTGCACTTAACCCAGTGTGCATTTAATGAGTGGCTGGTCGTTGATACACTCATCTTAGATGCTGACATTTCTGTTCTGCTAGCCCTTGTAAAAGTGGGTTTCTTGATCAATGCGTGCTCCCAATGCTGAAGGAAAAGATTTGTGTTTAAGAAAAGAAGTACATGCTGAAATTTGAGTGTGAAAGATTAGAACATAGAGGGTCTCTACAGTGTTTTTCTGCCACACTAGGATGTCAAATCTATTTATAGAGACTCTGATTACAACAGAAATTTTAAAACGAAATTTTCCACATAAGTATTTTGTAGGAAAGCTCTTATAATCAATGCTTAAGCTGCTTTTTGAGGCTTTTCTTGTACAGAGGTTGCAGCCAATTACATTTTAATTGGTAGGCTGCTGAATAATGTTTTTGTACGTTTTAAAATAATATTTATTTTAATAGGTTTTTTAACATTATGCAAACCCCAATAAAGAACTGACACGCTGCACAGGCCATTGACTGGGAAATTTTGTGAAACACAGCCTAAATACACAGTTTTTACACCAACTAATTTGTCTTGCCTTTAAAACTGATTATAACTCTTTAAGTACAACTTTTATAAAGAAAAAACACAACACTAAGACTGTATGTTCTATAAATTACAGTGTAATGACCCATGCAGAACCACTGTCTGAAGCTTCCTCAGTGATGCATAGCCATCTGTCCAGCCATGTTGTATCAAATTGCACACTAAAAAGAAAGGGAAATACTACAATGAAAAACCAAAAGTTACAGAGCAACATAAGTAAAATGACTAACCAGTTTCCTAGTGACATGTTTGAAATGGAAAAGGTGACTGACTGCCTTTCACTAGAGTCTTAGCTGTTTCATGTTCACTATTTTAGGTTAATTTTCTTGGGAAATCAATTTGAATATTCCTCCCTGTCCTTTTGCATTATAGGACAAAAATATATGTTCAGAGTTTGACAGACTTTTTTAATATGCCTCTTTCCCAATTTTAAGTATTTTTGGTTCTGCGTGCATAGATTTATCAATGAAGTACATTTGCCTCTGACTTTATCACAAGGAAAAAGGAATCAAACATTGAACACAAATGTGTTCCAAACCAGTCTTGTCCATCTTGTCACTTTTATGTGACTGCTCCTCTGAACCAGAAGGGGCATGATAGAAGGCAATAGGAATTAAAGTAAAAATCATTCAGGGGAAGTGAGAAATTCTACCATATACAGAGTGAAAATGTGTGATTTCATTCCTGCCTTCCTTTAAACCTTGTGTCTTGATCTCTGCCTAGTAGTAGTTAAGCCCACAGTCGCCCAAACATGAGGAGAGACCCAACTCCAGCAGCCAGAATTTAGTATTTACATTTGCCTTCCCAAGTTGAGAATAGAATGTGGTGTTCTGTACTTTGTTTTTATTATTCTGAAATATTTTTTTAAAGAAGTGTTATTTTTCAACAGATTCATAAATTAGTTCCTGATGTATGGGAAATTAAAACTCCCACTGTGTCAGTCAAACTGATATGCTAATTTCATAACCACTCATTTCTAGTCCGTCAGAGCTGTACTGGTGGCTTATTGCTGGGTTTTAAAGGTGTTTTTAACTTACATATAAGTGTTTTTTTTTTTCTAATTTGTGTGTCTTTACAACTGATTAAACAGTAGTTTAAAAATACGCGTGTGTGTGTTTGCTAATATCTTAGGCTTTTAATTCCACTTATAGAACAATACTGGCTCTGTTACGAGAGTTAATGGTCATTTTTATTGAAGGATTCTTCAGCAATATGGTAGTAATATTCTAAAGAGTCATTGACTCTTTAGCTGCTTAAAGATTATTTAAAAGAAACTATTGTCATGTTATAAACACTTTGGAAGGTAATTTAAACAACCTTAAATTAGTGTATAGTATCTATATTCTCTCCTAAAACAGACTTGTCAAGCGAAGAAGGTACTGACTTTGCTCAGCTGAAAGGGAACGCCCACCTCCCAGGCCCTGCAGTTAGCCAGTTCCCAGCACTCCTGTGGGAGGCCGTGGGTGTGGCTGCTGGGAAGCAGTGCTGGGACTCTGCGAGACACTCAATTTCTGTGCCATCACAGACCTAGAAGAACTTCGGAGCGTGCCTGGGGGCTCTTCCTTTATGCCGTTGTGAACAATTGTAGGGAAACGTCTTCTGTTTTACTGTTGTGTAGAGATGCCAGGCTGAACATACAGTCATAGTGCTTTCTCTCCGGGAGACCTTAGAATTTCATGCCAGATTTACCCCATTTTGAGATTCAAGACCATGTTGAAATTGGGCCATGACCAAAAGCAGTACAGACTCAGAATTCCTACCCACGTGCTGGGTAAGGAGAATAAGTCATTACCCTTGTCCTCAAGGAGTTAGTGAACAGTGACCATGTGCCACCATCAGTGCTTTATTGGAGGCATTCACCAGGGGCCGTGGCAATAGGAGGAGGAGTGAGGACCCAGAGCTGAGTGTGGGAGAGCTCCACAGAGGAGCTGGCTCCTGGACTCCTGGGGAAGGCTTTTCTTGGGCTGAGAAAGAGGAGGTGGGGAGTTAGAGGAAGAAAGAAAAGCTATGCCAACAATTTTATAAATTATTACACACAAATATAATAAATGAGTTAAGCAAGTTTAGATCTATTATGTACCAACAATATGTCTATCTGTTTAATAACATTTCCCTCAACTGGGAAAAGGAGTAATAGGAAATTAGCCAATGTTTTAAAACGCCAATGGAATATTTCACGCAGGTAGTTCAGTACAGAACAATAATAATAGACACTTGTGTGCCCACCCTCAGACTAAACAGATGTTACCGCTTTGCCACATTGGGGTCAATTTTTTTTTTCGCGTGAGAAGGATGTTGCACATAAGGACAGCATACCCACCTGTCCTGGCCTTCTCTCCCTCCCGAGGGGTACCAGCAATGTCAGCCTGCGCCTGGCCTGGCCTTCTCTCCCTCCCGAGGGGTACCGGCTATGTCAGCATGGGCCTCTTTGAGGAGGCTTTGCCTTTGGCTGCCTTTCTTGTGGGCTTAACTATGTGATTTTAAAACATAACTTTGTGTTACATTTCCGATAGCTTTTCTCGGTGTTTTGTGGCATGATGGGTTGTGTTGGCTCAGTCAGCTTGTTGCTGGAGCCAGATGTCAGCTCAGATTTTAAGTCTATAAATACTGCATGTCTCTTTCCTGGTAAAAGCTTTTCTGTTTTCTGACTGTGTATCTGTTGTTCAAGTTTGCTTTGTTTTGTGCTTGAGTCTTCTTTTTTGGTACATCCTCCTGAGTGATCCCAGTGGCATCTTTTGGCACAGGCTGAGCCTCACCATAAGCAGGGGCCCTGGTCCTGATAGGTCAGCAGTGCGGAGCTGGATGCCCTGTGGCCCGGGACAGGGAGACTATTCCCTGTGTGCCATCCCTTTGTGAGGGGTGAACATGAGAGCTGCCCTAAAAAGACAGGCCTGAGATTTTAGCTTAGATGCCAGCTGTTTTCAGCCATTACTGGGAAAGTCGGCTGCGCAGCACCAGAGACGGGAGAGTTGGGATCCTGATTGTCACTCCACCCTTTTTTAATGCATGTGTCAGTCGCCTCAAGAAGAATACTATATTCACATTGCCTTAGGATCAAGCCTCTTTTATGGGAGGGGAGGACCAATTAAAAAGGAAGGGTAACCTATTCTGCAACCCTCAGCCTTTCCAAAGGAGCTTCTCAGAGGAGCAGGCAACACCACCTCTGTGTTCCTTTTGTCCACAACGCTCGCCTGAACCATTTTTACAAAGGTCATTTTCAGCCTCTTTGTTGCTGAATTCAAGGTTTTCAATCTTTACGTCACTTTATCTCTGTAGCATTTGACTATATTGACGAGTCAAATGCTCTTCTTGAAGTTATTTTCTTGGCTCTATGTAACGATTCTTCCTTACTTCTCTTCCTGCCTCTCCGGATAATCATTTTCAGTCTCCTGAGACTCCTGTTCCTTCTCTCAGTGCATACACACCTACTGTTACAGCTCCTCTGTGCTGATCCTCCCTCCAGCACACATCTGTCTGCCTAACTCCCCTCCCGCAAGCCCTTCCTCCCTTTCCCATATCTGATCAATATGTATGCAACTCCCTGCCTCCCTGCTAAGTATCTCCATCCACAACTCACAGGCACCTCCAGCTCATCACATCTAAAACGAAACCCATTATCTCATTCCATCAGCCCCAAAGCTTGTGATAACTCTTGTAGTCCCTATCTCATTAATTATGAATATTTCCCTGGCTACCCAAGTCAGAGACCTGTGTACCATCTTGACCTCATCAACCCTGTTTGCTCACCCGCTGGATAACCGACTCCATCTCATTGCCCTCCCAATTGTTCATCTAGTTTATAGGAACAGCTTCCTAACCGGACTTCCATTCTCCAGTCATGCGTGCCTTGTCCATTCTCTACAATACAGGACGTGGTCATCTTTCTAAAGATATTTTTTATTCTCCTGCTTCAAAAGTGAAACTGGGCTGGGCACAGTGGCTTATGTTTGTAATCCCAGCACTTTGGGAGGCCGAGGTAGGAGGATCACTTGAACCCAGGAGTTCGAGACCAGCCTGGGCAAACACAGTGAGACCTTGCCTCTACAAAAAATAAATTAGCCAGGCCTGGCAGTGTGTGCCTGTGGTCCCAGCTACTCAGCCGTGTGAGCAGGGAGAATTGCTTGAGCCCAGGAGGTTGAACTGTGTTCTCGCCACTGCACTCTAGCCTGGGCAACATAGCGAGACCCTGTCTCAAAAAAAAAAAAAAAAAAAAAAAAGAAAGGTGAAACTCTGAAACGCTTGTGGTAAATGCAAACTTTTAGTGTGACATAAAAGACTTGTGGTCTGGCAGCTGCTTGCCTTCGCTTCGTCATGTTTCCCTCTGATTTGCCGCCCTGCCGGTACACACATGCTCACTCTCATCCTCTAGCCATGCGGAGTAGCTGGACTTGCCTCACTGTCTGGCTTGCTCCTGCCTCCTAGCCTGTGTGCCTGCTGCTCCATTTGCCCAGAACTCCCCTGCTCCCCGCCTCCTCCCCACCCCTCCTCCCTGGCTGGCTCCAGCTTCATCCCCAGGATTCGGGTTCCTTGTCACTAATGAGGAAATGTTCAATGAACTTGTACTATGCTCCAAGCACTGTGATGCATCCTAGGCATTCAAAGAGAAGGTGTTTTTCTCCAGGCAACTTTTCCTGAGCCTTCCAGACACAAGTTCTCTGCTCGATATTCTCGTGCGCCTCACGCTAACCACACGGTGTTGTCATTGTTAATATATATGTTTGTAGAAAGTCCATCCAAGAGTACTTCGTGACCAAAGAAGGAGATAGAGCACTAAATGTAGAACAGTCTCCAAATTCATGAGTTATCTAACGTTTACTTCAGCCTAATTCACTTGGCTACGGGACCTCCATTGCCAAGGGCCCTCATTACTAGCCACTAGTTATAGTTGACATGCAGATATAATTCCCAAAGTCTCTACACTGATTCATGGTAGCCAGCCCCGTTTTGTCAACATGTGTAGGTCCTGGAGGCTATGTTTAAAGCATGAGAAACACTTAAAACACATACATTGGAATGGGGTATAAACAGAATCACTTAGAAAATCAGTCATTGTTAAACAGTTGCTAAACTGAAATAACCTATACTTCTTAAATACATTTCATATTCACACAAACCACAAAGTGTTGTGAAATTTGATAAATTTTAGAAAATCTGCAGTAAGGCCAAAAAAAAAAAAAAAAAGCTTAATACTAAGACTGAAGGTGTCCTGTAGACAAGATTAAATATTTTTCATCTAAACCCTCAGATCAGGAATTAATCGGTTCACCACACACACAAATTGGTGATTCCCTCCCTGATGTTTATACTAGGTATGACCTGGGCAGTAAGATGCATTCAAGTAAATAGATCCATTGTCCTAACACTGATAAACAACTTTAACATTTTGGTACATTGCTTTCTAATCATTTTTCTATCGATAGATAAAAAGATGGAGATATGTTTTACAAAGTAATTTTGTGAACTTCATTTTGAATTGAACATATTTTGTTCCTCTCTTTTCCTGTTACACTGAACATTTTTTGTTTTGTTTTTGAAACGTGGGGAAAAGAGAGATCAGACTGTTACTGTGTCTATGTAGAAAGAAGTAGACATAAGAGACTCCATTTTGTTCTGTACTAAGAAAAATTCTTTTACCTTGAGATGCTGTGAATCTGTAACCCTAGCCCCAACCCTGTGCTCGCAGAAACGTGTTGACCCAAGGTTTAATGGATTTAGGGCTATGCAGAATGTGCTTTGTTTAAAAAGTGCTTCAAGGCAGTATGCTTGTTAAAAGTCATCACCATTCTCTAATCTCAAGTACCCAGGGACACAATACACTGCGGAAGGCCACAGGGACCTTTGCCTAGGAAAGCCAGGTATTGTCCAAGGTTTCTCCTCATGTAATAGCCTGAGATATGGCCTCCTAGGAAGGGAAAGACCTGACCATCCCCCAGCCTGACACCCGTAAAGGGTCTGTGCTGAGGAGGATCAGTAAAAGAGGAAGGCATCTGTCTCCTGCTGGTCCTTAGGCAATAGAATGTCTTGGTTTCTATGTTCTGTTTACTGAGATAGGAGAAAACCGCCTTAAGCCTGGAGGTGAGACATGCTAGCAGCAATACCGCTC